CTCCCTTTGGTTCGGAATTCATCGGGAGAGCCGCAGGCCTCGCTCGCGCCGCCGTGACGACAACGCCGTCTCCACCCGAGCCCGAAGACTCGTTTTTTTTCCTCCTTCGCCTCCCCTCATTGGACGCGCCCTTGGGAACCCCAAAAGGCAATTAGGCGGGCATGTCTTAATTGCAATTAATTAAACAGAGCAGCCTGTCGAAGAGTCGCGCGCTCGTCTATTGTCCCTGGCAGCATGTGGGAAAGGGTGCTCTTAAAGGCTCTGGCGGTGCCTGGCGCGACCCATCGGAGGGAGCCCCTCGCCTGCGCCGCGCCGGAGACGACCCCGAGCCAGGCGGATCTGGAAGCAGAGCGGCGACTCCTGACGCGTGGCTGGCCAGCGAGCTGCCTCTAAGGTCCGGGGGAGAGCCTGGCTGCTCCTCCAGAGTCTATTGGGAGAGAAGCCCTCCTCTTGACATAAACGAGGCCTTCCCCAGTGAAGCCGGCCCGGCCCGATTTCCCCCATACCTGCACTGGAGTCTCTCCGAATGAGCGGAGTCGAATCTCCCAGGTAAAGGCAGAGACGCCGGGCTCTCGGTGCACAACCACGGTCTTACCAAGAAGCAGGCCCTGGGATGGGGTGTGCGTGTGTGTTTCCCCTACATTTTAAAGTGAAGGGGAGTCGGTGTCCCCCTGGCCTTCTGGGACTGACCTCCCCCCCCCATACAAGAGCAAGAGACTGAGCTGCAGACTAGGATGCTCAGATAAAAGATCCGCCACCCCTGGAAGTCCTTCCTGTCAGGACTGCTGTTCCCCTCCCCCGTCGGGTCTCCGATCTGCGCTCCTTTTCGGGCTGTTGTGTGAGAAGAGAGTGGGAAAGGGGTGCTGCTGCCAGGGCAGAGGATGGGGACAAGGGAGAGCTATGTGTCGGGGTGGGGCGCAGCTCAGGGAGGACAGAGAGGGCGTCGGAAAAACGCCCCATTTTCAGTCCCACTGTAGCTGGGGGGACGACGACGACGGTGCTTCTTTTCAATGGGATTTCACAGTTGCTTTCTTTCCCCTCCTCCGATCAGGTGCAGAGGAAGGTTAGAAAGGGTTAACCCCGCCGCCGCCGCCCTCAAGAGCGCCTCTGTCGCGGGCCGCGGAAGCTGGAAGCTGGCTGGGCGCCCCCGGAGAAGGCATAAACGGCTCCGGGCTTGTTAAGGTGTTTTCATTTTGGTTAAAGGTCGTAACGTCTGGCATTTGGTGGCTTGCTGTAAAATCTGGCCTTGGGACGCGCGGAGGGCTCCCCAGAGGACTCGCGTAATACTCCGGGCACGGGCAGACGTTTGCGCCCACCCGATGGAGGGAGCGGGACCGTCGAGTCGCGGCCTCCCGGCCCATTCAGCCCAGAGACCCCGCCCCTCTGGGGGGTGTCTGTCTGTGTCTTCCAATCCCTCCCAGTCTCCCCCTCGCGTTGCTCTGACTGGTCGGAGGCCTACAGAAAAGATACCTTCTGTAATGGTGTGCTCCCCCCCCCTCCCCGCAAAGCGGACTGCCGTGGCTGAGCTGGAGCTCTCCGCAGGGTCCTGGCCGGTCTTTCCTGGGCCCACCTCAAAAAGGCCCACTGGGAGCGATTGAAGCGGGGCAGGGAGGCGATTTGCCGCGAGGGCGAGGGAGACACTCCTGGTGCCCGTGAGGTGCCCATCGCAGGGTGGGCGGGCGGAGTAGACCCCCGCGTGAAAGAAGCGGCACGCCACGGGGAGTGGGACTGCCTTCCCGGGGAGAAGACGACGGAGGGCTCCGGGTTGAGCTGAGGACGCGTGGAGGGTTGAAGGGCGCTTGTCCTGCCTTTAAACGCAGACGAGGTG